ACGGGCTAAGTGATACAGACACTCGCACGCGAACCAAAGGTGCATTTTGATTTTTTTTATAGGATAGGGTGACAAACGAGCACACAGTCCACCTGATGGTAAGTGATTGCTGTGGCCCATAGACATCTACATTTATCCTCGTTTGCGAATCAAAATGCAGATGCGTTGTCACCCGTGAGGACTAAGATGGAATGCCTCTTTTCCAGTAAAAAGGGTCTGCGGTTCTCTACACTCACCATACAAAACACAGCAGTGTTAAGCTGCTATTTTACGCTGGTATTCTGTGAGAGCGTGGTCCTTCCCCAGTCGAGCCGACCCATTCGTGCTACAACTATACTACTAATATAGCTGCAGCATGGCTCTACTACGTATATAATATAATAGTGATTTAATACGTGCGCCGCATAATTTTTTTCAACGATATAAACGATAGGCTAATTTCACGAAGGTCACTTCCGAGGCATTCAAAGTATTATGAACATTAGCGATGTTGTAACAAGTTTAAACTCGCAAGTTTGCTGTCAGAGAGTGATCTTTCTGTTCTTGTACTATTATTTATTCTGTGCTAGTGGGAAGGAGTGTGGCGAATGGCGATGCGAAATTCAAACACGCATAATATACTTAAACAGTATGTTCGCTACTCACTCATAATCACTTCATTCACTTATAACAGCCCCTCAACGTTCACTTGCGAACATAGAAACTTCAAGTGAAAATACAAATCTATGGAGGAAATCGATTGCCTCAGGATATTTGCCATAGTTGCCACACTTGGCAGGTGGGTTGGCAATCGCAGTTTTTATTTATAATTATGTATAATTATTGTCAAGAAGGCGCTGCTGGCCATCTCCTGTTTCAGTTTCCCGCTGTCGCCACTTTGATATGAACGCGAAATGAATAAACCCTCACAAGCACTTCATTTGTGAGCAACAGCAACTACAAGCAAGTCATCGAGTGGAATAAGCTGCCAGAGAACGTAGTCTTAGCCCAACATGTGAATCGATTAAAAATAGATTAGATAATTACTTTCTGAACTGAAAAAGGAGTAACTAGTGGGCACAAACAAGTTACAATTTTTTATCGGCTTAATACGTGGTAGAGGCATGTTGCAGCTATATTAGTAGTATAGTTGTAGCACGAATGGGTCAGCACGGTCTGGGAAGGACCACGCTCTCACAGAATACCAGCGCAAAACAGCAGCTTAACACTGCTGTGTTTCATATGGTGAGATTCGGAGATACTTTTTACTGGAACAGGGGCATTCCATCTTAATCCTCACAGGTGACAACGCATCTGAATTTTAATTCGTAATCGAGGATAGATGTAGATGTCTATGGATCACAGCAACCACGCATCATCAGGTGGACTGTGTGCTCGTTTGTCACCCTATCCTGTAAAAAAAGACATTATTAGTTATCTCAACTGCCTGCCTGCTAATATATATTTATATATAATAAAATTTTTCAATTTCCCTCTGTCGTCACGTGATGGAGGTAGTTCATTCTCTTACGCCGCGTGTTGTACACGGCACTGCAATAATAATATCCTCCAGACCGAATATTAGTCACGGGGACCAGTCTTCAACGGAAACTAGCCATCTGCACAGGACAGGATTATAGTGCCCAAATGTATGCGCAAGTACAAGTGTACTCTCTATTCCCTCACTCTCTTAATTCGATGGGACGGTAATTGGACACGACCGGAGACAGATCAGGCGCAGGACTGACGCGACAGGGATTAACGGTCTACCCTAGGTACGGGAGTGAATGAAACACCGTCAATTTCATAACTCTGGACCGCTACTGAAAATTTCTTGACAGACAAACCCAATGACTGATTTTGGCATGAATATATAAATAAATCGTCTAAAGAACAAATAATAGTACACTATGATTCTTCTAAATAGAAATCGGACCTCTTGCTCAATTCCCCTTCCCTCTCTGCAAGAGAATATTAATGCAACAGCTGTAAAAGTAATGGATATCACAATTGTGTCAATGTATATTTCCAATCCTACTCCTGCCGGTATCCCAGAGCTTAACTTAATCTTGTCTAGTATATGTCCTCCTTTGTAACGATGCATCTGAATGCATCCTTACAAATACTTATAATTAATTAATCTTACACAAATAATAATATAGATATAATATTAAATAAATAATAGTAGTATAATATTCTAATATAAAAATAAAAAAGTAATAAATTGTTACATATTGTTAATTTAAAATAGTTGTACGGAACCATAGACTAGTTAATTTCGGTCGGTTCGATTCGGACACGACGACGAGTCCCCGTTCGGGCCATTCCCTTTTCATTTTCTACCTGAGACCGCTTCAAGTTCGCAACGGGCGTGACCCTCCTACTAAAGACCGTTGAACCTGCTTACCTACAATTAAAATTTAAATTATTCGAGGTGGGGATCTACCTACTACCTAAGAGCCACTGCTTGCCGAGCCGCGAGCTAACGGAGTGTTTGCCTAACTTCCTACCAACGGCCTTCATCACTGTCGGGCTTGGGTATCACCGGCTCCTTCTGCTAGCTGACTGTCTATGACCCTGAGGGAACAGCGCTTGGACTTCGCCCCTACGTTAGGCCAGTGATCCCCTTCATAGAAACTTATTTGTACGTGTGCGGAAGTAAGATAAATAAATAATTTACTATAATTCTTGGCTTTTTAAGAACCCACCTACTTCTGAACCCCTAACGGTACACCTTTTATTGTAATTGGGGACTTCAATAGCCACAACGTACTGTAGGCTCTGTTCTAAGTCCCCTTCTGTATAGCCTATATACCCATGATCTAGATAGATCCGTAAACTGCCTGTCCAACATACTCCAATATGCTGATGATTTGGCTTTGTCGTTACTGACCATTCTTTACCTGACGCCTCTTCTCGATTATCTCGTGCAGTATATTACCTCCAAGAATGGCTCACGTAACATGGTTTATCCATATCCCCCCCCCCTCCCCCCCAAAGTAAAATAGTGGTATTTTCGAGACGAAGACTCATCCCAGAAGTATCATTTTCTATTGGAGACACATTGATTCCCAAAGTGAGCCATGTGAAATTCCTCGGTGTTATGGTAGATAACAAAATGTCTGTAATCCCCCACTAATCCTACATAGCTTCAAAATGCGAAAAAAATCTTAACGTCATTCGTGCTATATCAGGAGCTTGGTGGGGGCTCTCATCCTTACTCCCAAAAGCTCTTGTATAATGCTTTGATAATTGTTTTTTTCAATCTGTAATCTTCCAAAATAGCATCAACTTACTCTTCTCTACTTCCTACGAAGCACTAGTTTTTAATTCAAACGTCATCAAGTGATTGACAAGAAAACCATTGATCCTAACAGTAAATTTAAAAAAATCATCTCAGAAAATTGACAAGACTGGATCATTATGTACACAGACGCTTCAAAGACTTCTTACAAAGATTGTGTAGGTTCTGCAGTTTGGATCCCTAAATATAGAATAATTTTAAATTTTAAGTGCCCACCTGAATCATCACTTTTCACAGGTGAATCTATTGCCATTTTAGAGGCAATCCTATATGCCGAATGTCACAACCTGGAAAATACCTTAATTCTCTCTGACTCTCTTAGCTGTCTCCAAACTATTATCTCCAGCTTCTTTCACTTTAAATCAAATCTTTTCCCTATCCTCTTTATTAAAAAAAAAGCATTATATAATTGTCACAAAAAGGCCTAAAAGTTGTTTTGGCTTGGATTCCAGGCCATTTTGGGATACATGGTAATGAGTGTGTTGATGTCTTGGCTAAGAAAGCAACACGAACAGGTACCCTCTCTCAGTACTAAATTTTCCCCCATGACTTGCTTCCACTAGCAGGATCTAACTTTATGGCATCTTGGCAAGGTCTCTGGGACCAAACTAAAAACATAAAATGTAAACACTACGCTTGGGTTAATGACGTAATCCCATACAAACCTTGGTTTTTGTTAACATAGTTTAGTGTGTTTTATCACGAAATATTAATATTATGAGTATTTTCTAACGTAAAGTCGTTACCGAGAAATATTCCTTTTCTTTGAATAATTTTGAGTGTTATATTCTGACAATATATTAATAAAATGGATAAAATAATTTGTTCAGGTAAAGATTAAGGCTATACTAAGACGACATCAATGTCTTTTTACGTCTGACTTGTATAGGCGTAAATCCCTTTGCATATATATATATAAAAAGTATATAGATTCAGTGTAGCTAATAACTGAATTTTCTCCTTAAATTTAGGTAAAATTTTAGTAGGTACCAAAATTTTTAGGTATAATCTATATGATAAAGCTTTAAGCATATTATCGAACGTGACTGATGCTGTATCATGCCTCTATGCCCGCTGTACTTAGTCCGTAAATTATGATCGCCGTCATTGCGAGAAACATAAACGCGAAAACAAGCACTGACTTTTGTTGTTTTAGTTGAAGTAACTTCCGCTACGTCGTCTGCTATGCGCATCAACTTACTATATTAATGAATCAGCATAAATATATCAATACATTCATCCATCCATCCATTACAGTGTCCACTGCTGAACATAAGCCTCCCATATAAATTACCTCATGAGGGAATTTCGTCATAGTTGCCATGTTTGACAAACGGTTTGGCAACCATAGTTTTCTATTATTTTGCGGTGTTATCAAGAAAATGCTGCTGCCCTTCTCCTGTTTTCCCTCTGTCGCCTCTTCCGACATCCTCGGGACGATATGGGGTAGTGGATATTTTTACTCCGCCACCACACGGTAAATATATTAATGTAAATATTAATAATAGTTTCTAAGAAAAAATAGTCGATAATCGGTATCAAGTATCTGTCGTAGGACACTATAGTGCACGGAATAAAAAAAAGACTAAAGAGGATAAGAAAGAGACAATAGACATGGTTTAAAAGATAAGCATCCAAGCCAAAAATCTTAATAAAAAAATTATCTGACGTATTGTGATGTTTATTTTATTTTTTTACTTTTCAATTTTACATAAAAATGATACAAAGATTAATTCATGTCTCTTTAAATTTAAAAGTATGTAGTAAACATAATCATTTACTGTTTAGGATTCCTATTCTTAGGCAGTCAGTCCACCATTGTGGATTCAGGTTATATTCTAGTCATAAAGTTTCAGCGTTACGAAATTATTATGAAAGAACTTTTATAAGTAGTAACAGAATAAAGTTCATATGGTCAAGATTTTATAGCAGCCAGGTTAATACCCAAAAAAACGACAGTCAAACAGACAGTCTTAATTCGAAGACTACAAAAAAGATAGATTTGAAGTCGAAAACTTCTGAATTTAAACGCTTATTTTCTTTGGCAGCGCCTGAAAAATGGACTCTCACCGGTAAATATTTAATAATGTATTCGTGTCTAATTTACGGGCTAAGAATATTCTGTCTTGGGCTGAAAAATGCTCATTAACAGCGGACTTGAGCTCATTATCGTCAGCAAATTGCTTTCCCCGAAAGTATTTTTTTTAAAGTTTTGGAATGAAAACTAGTCACTGGGGGCTAAATCTGGACTGTATGGTGAGTGGCTAATTTCCTCAAACCTGCAGTCTCGTACAGAAGCCTTGGAGAGTGATGCTGTGTGAACCAGTGCATTGTCATGAAAAAGCAGCACTCCCATGGTCAGCTTTCTTCTTCTCTTTTCTTTTATTGCTTCTCTCAAACGGTGTAAAGTAGCTGAGTATTTATGTGTATTGATGGTTTCACATTTTTTTGTGTACTCGATCAGTAGTATTAGGGGGGTCATCCTCGATGCTTTCCTTACCTGTTTTGTATTCACTTGACCTTTTCTGTAAGGTTGACATTAAAGGAGCAGTCTTGGTAAACGCCCACGACTTTACTTTTACTTTGTATAACTCGACTTTACTTTTACATTAGTATAACATTAAATAGTATTTAACATTTGTAAATATCAACGAATCATAAACCTTATTTTTTTCAAAAATAAGGTACTATTTTTTGTTTGTACACTCTGGATCAAGTCACCTATGAAACAAAAAAAAAACTAAATCTAAATCGGTTCATCCATTTGGGAGCTACAATGCCACAGACAGACCCACAGATACACAGATACACATATTAAAATAACTTCCCTTTGTTTGCATCGAGGGTTAAATATGTCTTCTATTGCTCGTTGGCTTATGCTATAAGTAGTGTATATTATTCATTTTTTAATTTCAGGTGCTATCGGGTTTTTAATTGTCTCGTCAAGTGTGACTATAGCAGTACCATTCTCATTGGGCAAAGTTTTAGACATAATTTATAGTAGTACAAATGACTTGGGAGCTACTCGAGAAAAATTGGATTCATTATGCTTGATGCTATGTGGAGTGTTTCTTATAGGTGGTTTATGTAATTTTGGGAGGGTGTACTTAATGTCTATATCAGGTAAGATATTTTTTTTATTTAAATAGTATGCCTGTTAATTTTTTATTTTGCAGCTGAAATTTTTTATTTCTACATTGTTTCTGAGCTAATGGTACACTGTGCACAGGCCTTCCCTCACTTCTGAGAGGGTTTTTAGGGAAAGGAAGTACCCGTCACGCTTCTCCAATTCAATTTGGAGGACACATGTCCTTGAAATTTTTTTTTTATATTTCAGTCATGTAGGTTTCCTCACAATGTAGTGTGGTGAATCAGCACTTAAAATTGTAATTAACAATTTCATTGGTGCCGATTGGGATCAAACCCAGGTTGCTCGCATACTGTGAAATTTGCGAGCACTGAGCCCCTGAGCTATCACGGCTCTCAGAAGTATAACCTTCTAAAGTACTTCTTTCCTTAATTAGTTAATAACAATAATGTCCTCCAGACTGGGTTTCGGCACGTCAGCCAGTCTCAACAAGACTAGCCATCTGTGCTCTCTAGCTGTATGCTATTCCCTCACTCTCATAGTCCAATGGGGCGGTAATACGACATGACCGAAGAGAGATCAGGCGTAGGATCAGCGGCTTTATGTTCTTTAGCTTTTTCTAGTTAACCTCAATGATACAAATGGACAGTCATATTATATGATATAACTTCTTGGTGCACTTATACAGTAGAGTCAGACCACTTCGGGAAGCTATAAGCGCACAATAATTATATGAAATTTTTTGTTACAATAAGGTTTACGAAAATACTCTAGTCAGTAACCCTTTTTAGTGAAGACAAATAGAAATATATAAATCATGTACAAGCCTCTGTGTATATTATAATACATTAACATAGCCGTGTGGTGGCTGGTGGCGGCACGCATAAGGGAATCTCTTATCTCATTTCTTTCCATGGGATTTGATAGATGGTGGTTTAACCAACTAGTTTTCGTCAGACGTTAAATTTCCAGACTGGTGATGGGGAGTGGCGCCACAAGTGTGAGATGTCTGGATCGTGAATCCTGCCAAGCGTGACGCTTAATGACTGAAAGTATAATTAACAGGACAAAGGATGACCCAAGCACTCCGTAAACAAGCGTACACAGCAATTATGCGGCAAGAGCCAGCTTGGTTCAACAGGACATCCACTGGGGAGCTAGTTAACCGCCTGTCAGCTGACACTCAACTCGTTGGACGTAACCTTAGTCAAAATGTTAGCGACGGGCTTCGTTCGTTGTTGATGATTGTTGCTGGTTCGGGAATGATGGTGAGAATATATGCTATTTTATTTAACAAGAGTAAACTTAAGATTTAATATAGTCATAGGTCATAGCCCCAGCATGGGGAGTAATTCCTATATTTTATTTGATGAAAGATTTCAATGTTTTGATGGTCTATAGAGCAGTGGCTAAGTATTTAGTGGCGGTATTGTTGGACAGCTGGCTCGAATCCGACAATTTTTCCTCGTCTGGAATTGTCCATTTTCTGAAAAAAATCTCATGCGCCATATATGAATTTAAAACGACTTTACGACACACAAGGAAATCCTAGCTAAAGGTGACCGTATTTCAAAAAAAAATCGATATTTGCTATCACATTACCCGGGTTAAGAAATATATTTAGTAATAACAGGCCTGTCTCACGCCGCGTTTTAGGCCTGAAAATATACCTACGCTCCGCGGCCACATACCAGGGGCTAATTCTGTGAGATTGTCAGGCGTGCGCCTTATGTTAACGAAATAGTATTTTTCACTTATAGTATTTAGGCACTTTTGATATTTATTTCGGAGTTTTTATTCAAGTATGTCCTCTCAAAAAGTCAAAAGGTACTGTTAGTAGTTTTATTATTTGATCAGCAACCCGACCCACAGCTTTGCAGTTTTCGTTTTTTTCGCGTATAACGCCAATGACCTTAAAAAACATTCAGTGTAAGTATACCTCCCAGTATCAGTGACTGCCTACTAATGCAAGATCACCTGGTAATCAGTTTATCACTTGGTCGATAAAAGAAAGAGATTGAAAATAGCACCATTTCTCATTGCCACTTTTTAATAATGTCGCCGCGTGTCACATGTTTTTGAATAGCAAAAAATGTGTAACAGACAAGTGACTCAAGTGACTGGCAGTGGCTTTGCAATGAGTTGCAGCGCTAAAGGCCGCGTGTCGAATCCCACGCGGAATAAGTATTTGTGTATGGCCTACAAATAATTGTTCTGCGTCAGGATGTTTGTCCTTGTGCAATTTGTGTTTGTAAACTGCCTCCACGATACAGGAGAAAATTCTAGTGTGGGGGTAAAGTTTATTTAAAAAAAACCGACCAAGTGCGAGTCGGATTCGCGCACCGAGGGTTCCGAACAAATATGTAGGTATATAAGTTTAAAATTATTAAAAATATTTTTATTATATGATGTAACTAAAAATGTATGCTTTTCGCAATTTTTTCTTTATCTGTGCTTATAATACGTTGCTTCGTACCAAATTTTAAGATTCTGAGTTCACGGGAAGTACCCTGTAGGTTTTGATTCCCTTGCGAATGTCGAAAAATTGCCGCATAAACGGCTATATCTTTTGATTGCGTTGGCTTAGAAGTTTGATTTTTTCACAGCGCCAAGGGACAGTAGAGTTGAGTATTTGATATGAATTTCAGCTTGATACCTCCACGCGTTCCTGAGAAAAAGGTTCTTAACAGACAGGCAGATAGACGGACAACAAAGTGATCCTATAAGGGTTCCGTTTTTTCCTTTTGAGGTACGGAACCCTAAAAATGACTGCGTTGCTGGTCCGACAACTGTCTCATGCTTAGAGTGCCTTTCCTACGCACTGCTTTTGATTGGGATAACACAAAACATTTGGGCGTGGCTGCAATTCGTTTTGCTTCGCTATCAATGGTGGCTTCTCATTCGATGACTAATTAAGTGATAATTTCTAAATTTATCATGCAGAGAACTCCGAGCATAGCCCTCTCCATAGCTCGCTGAGCGACCTTGAGTTTCCTCATCCGGCCAACAGTGAAGGACCACGTCTCAGCTCCATAGGTCATCACTGGCAACACGCACTGGTTGCACAGTGTCGTTTTCAAGTTTTGACGTATACCTGACGAGAAGATGTGTTGTAATTTCCCGAACTCTGCTCAGCCGAGTTGAATCCGTCGATTAAGCTGTCAGTCGAACTTGGACTTGCCTAGTCTGACTATTTGTCCCAGGTAAACATTGTCGTCAACAACTTAGAGCTTAGTGCTCTCAACAACTACCGGCATACGTGTGACATGGGCGTTACACATGATCTTTGTTTTGTTCATGTTCATCTTAAGACCTATCTGATGGGAGACACTATTGAGGTCATTGAGCATAGTGCTTAAATCCTCCAACGATTCTGCCATAAGGACTATATCGTCGGTAAATCGAAGGTGGGTGATGTATGTATCCTTTTCAGTCCAGTAGCTTAAAAACATCTTGAAATGCAGCGGTGAAGAGTTTCGGAATATAACGTCACTCTGTATTACTCTTCTCTACAGTTGCACCACCGAAGGGACTGCAAAACCGCCCATATTTCGACAGAATCAAAGGCTTTCTCATAGTCCACATACGCAAGGTATATGTAGTTCATGGTGTAAAAGTCTTGACGGAAACCGGTTTGTTCGGGAGGCCGGAAGTCGTCGAGTCTGTGTGCGAGACGATTCGTAATGACTCTCGAAAACAGCACGTAGATGTGGCTCGGAAGGGAAATCGGTCTGTAGCTCTTCAAGAGAGCGTTGTCGTCTTTCTTGAAGAACAAGACCACCGCACTTCTGCTCCACGCCACCGGTGTATTGCCACCATGTAGGACGGAATTAAAGACCTTCTGAAGGACTTCAAGTACAGATTTTCCATCTGCTTTCAGAAGATCCGCTGTAGTTCCATCCTCGCCCGGGGACTTACCGTTTTTAAGGTACTGGAGAGCCGTTCCAATCTCGCTGAGACTGACATCCGGATTATCATCGGAATAGTGTCGGATAAGACTTGCTCTTGGATCGTTACTCACACTTGCGTGTGGCTCCAACAATGATGTATGCAGTTGCCCAAAGAACCTCTCAATCTCACTCAAAATCTAAGGTGTTTCGGAAACGATGCTGCCAAATGCGGTCTTCAGCTTCGACGGTTTGCTCTTTCTGGCAGACCGATCTCTGGCAAAGGCTTTGAAGCCCTGGTTACATTCGATCCCTTCTTCATAACAAGTTATTTGAAGCTGCGTAAGTTCCGCCGCATGCGAGGGCATCATTTAACTTAATTAAAGGCCAAGAGAACTTAAACTTATACGTCCATGATTGCTGCATACCACCGCTTTGTTCCTGTACGTGTCGCTCTCTTGAAAAGACCACGAACACAAAATACTTAGGTGTTATAATAGACTACAAACTTTCTTTCGAAGAACATATAAACCACATTTCTTCCAGAGTTCGTAAACTTACATACATTTTTAATCAACTTCGTCATCTTGCAGATACCAGTATTATAAAATTTGTTTATACTGCTTTATGTCAGTCTATTATTAACTATAGCATAACGTCTTGGGGTGGTGCAGCAAAAAGCCACATGATTAGGTTAGAGCGTGCACAAAGACTTATACTTAAAATATCTTATAAAAACACAGATTATTTTCAACAAATGAACTTTACAAGTTCTGTGAATCGCTCACGGTACGTCAGCTCTATATTCTTGGGACAATATTATTAAATCATTCAAAAACGGAATATAATAAATCCAATCCTGTATTAAACAAAAGACTTCCTCATATGGTATGCTCAATACCTGTTACCAATTTATTATTTGCTCGAAGATTTTTCAATTACAGAGGTCTATTCCTATATAATCTTGCTAACAAATTATTAAATATATATCCGTTAACTAAAAGACAGACAAAAATTTCCTGAATCAATTGGCTTAAATCATTAGACTACGAACAGACAGAAAAACTATTTGAACGTATTATTTAAATATATATTACACACCACATGCATACACACACACATACACACACACACACACACACACACACACACACACACACACACACACACACACACACACACACACACACACACACAGACAGAGACAGACACACGTGCGTGCACACACGCACACCACATTATTAACACTTATTACACCTGCTTACCTTTACTAGTACTTAAAGCATGTTTTTCTTCTTTGTATATATACCTAGCAAGTAATTTTTACACAGTTTCTCCAAACTGAACAAGTATATTTTAATGTAATTTTATTACACGTAGCTGTATTGATTATAAATGTTTTACAGCATTATAACTTCTGTTGAGGGAGGGGCCTGGTGATCCCATAGCACAGGGCAACCTAGTTTGGGCACCAGTCTCCCACCTAGATCTTATTTAGTTAATTTTTATACCTGTTATTTAGTTGTATAGTTCATTGTTACTAAGTTTTTTGTGATGTAATGATTGTAATATGTATGTGGGAGAAAAAAAAAAATAAAAAAAAATTAAAACTACTAACTACTACCGCCATGGGGTGGCAATGTAAATACAGTATATCTCTCCATCCAGTTTGCCTGCCAAGCATGACAAGCAAGCATTATGTTGATCGTCATCTAATAATATAATGTCCTCCAGACTGAATTTTGGTTAAGGTGGTCAGTCTGAACGGAGGCTAGCCATCAGCGCATGACAAGATAATAGTGCCTGAGTGTATGCTCAAATTCAGGTGCACTCCCTGTTTCCTCACTCTCCAGGCAACAGGGAGTGCACCTGACTTAAATTCAAGTGCACTCCCTGTTTCCTAACTCTCATAATACTATGGGACGATATTGCAACATGACCGGAGAGAGATCAGGCGCAGGACCAAAGGCTTTATGCGCTGTTCGAATCACGAATTGAAACACCGATAACTTCCTGACTCCGTGCTGCTACTAACAATTTTTTGACAAAACCCGACGCCGGATAAGCCCGGGACCTCAAAATCAGCAACCGCGTTTGCGACCACCACCAACCACGATGCCACGGCCAACGAGGCAGTAATCGTCACTTATAGACTGGCTGAAAAAGAGGACGGGTGATCCAACTGGAAAACCATTTTTATCAAATTTATTTAATCAGTACTCAATACACATAGGTACACTTACGTTTTCTCAAGGCTGGCTTAATTTTATCTTATCGCTTTGACATAACCCTGTTAATTCGAGATCCATCTACGTGGTTTACTGATTACTTTGTCCACCTTTTTTTTAAAATCAAAATACAATTCTATAGATACATAACACAGACTACGGACATACATTTGGCACGATTCTGACACACCCCTCTCGCTTCTTTCATATCCATATATTTACGCATACATGGTCGACAGTTTAGAGTACTGTTATCTTCATTTTTCATATCGCCAATTTGGTCGATACACTTCCGTCTAGGGCGTCCCTTGCCGACTTTGCCATTCACTTCTGCTGTAAAATTTGTTTTGTCACTCTTAATCATTGAAATAGAATTTTTTATTCAATATAATTCATAATTAATACTTAATTAAAGTCACTCTCTTGTTTAATTTACACTGCTTAGGAAAAAAAAACGGACTTTTTTCATTAATTCATACTTTCATGTGTCCAAACGTTTTTTTTTAAATCCTGTAATATCCTGTAATAATTTGCAAATCACATTATTCTCTTATCACACAATTTCTTACTCTATCATCAACATACTTCTTAATGACCGCATTTATACAGCTTCAGTTTTATTGATTCTTCTTCTACCTCACCCAACTTTCACTACCATAAATTAAGGTAAGGACTAACACAGTATTATGAATTGTGTGTGAAGTGTTTTTTTTTGACACACTGATTTCCCACAAAAGAGTAAAGAGTCCCTTTTACTCTGTTTCCTGCATTCACTCTTCTTTCTATATACTTGTCGCGTCTACCATCACTGATAAACGCACATCCTCCAATACACAAACTCATTCACTTGCTCAACCAACTCCCGTTCTACCTTATTTCACATGCAGTTTTACTCTCTTCTCTTTCAAAAACCAACACTTTCGTCGTACTTGCATTCTCCTTAATTTCCCCAATTTTCTTTTAAAGATGTGTTTATTAACCATCATTTGCATCGCGTCCGCCGACGACGCAAATATTACTTGATCGTCTTAACACTTTCTTGACTTTAAAATTACCAAACTACTGTCAATAAACATATTTACCTTTATGGATGCCAAACTACTCCGAGTAAGCCCCGTCGATGACTAAAAAGCACAAGAGTCCCTATAAGGAGATGTTAATGCACGTATCAGCCCAGCGCTAAATCCAATTGAGGCCGTAGTTTGCCATAAAGCAACCCTGTCTGGTTACCATACGCCTATTCAAAGTCTAAAAATGCACAGAAAACTATTTTGACCAAATACTTCTCCGTGATCATCCGCGACGAAAAGACCTGGTCTATCTATATATTTGCACCCTTTAAATGTAACCTGATTTATTATTACCATTTAAATCTGTTCTGAAGATATCCCGGACGTCAGTCCGAGCGAGATTACAATGGCTCTCCAGCACCTTAAAAACGACAGGGCCCCAGGTGAGGATGGAATTACAGCGGAAATTTTGAAAGCGGGTGGAAAACCAGTACTTGAAGTCCTTCAGAAGCTCTTTAATTCCGTCCTCCAAGGTGGCACTACTCCGGAGGCGTGGAACAGAAGTGCCGTAGTATTGTTCTTCAAGAAGGGCGACAACGCTCTCTTGAAGAACTACAGACCGATTTTCCTTCTGAGCCGTGTCTACGTGCTGTTTTCGAGAGTCATTACGAATCGTCTTGCACGCAGACTTGACGACTTCCAGCCTCCCGAACAAGCCGGTTTTCGAAAAGGCTTTAGTACCATAGACCACATACACACCTTTCGGCAAATTGTACAGAAGACAGAGGAGTATAATCTGCCACTTTGCCTTGCGTATGTTGACTATGAGAAAGCCTTTGATTCCGTCGAAATTTGAGCAGTGCTGCAGTCCCTTCAACGGTGCCAAGTTGTGTGTCGGTATATCGAAGTGCTGAAGTGTTTGTACAGCAGGGTTACGATGGCTATCCGAGTACAGAATCAGAGTACGAAACCTATCCAACTGCAGAGAGGTGTAAAACATGGTGACATTATATCCCCGAAACTCTTCACCGCTGCATTGGAAAACGTTTTCAAGCTACTTGACTGGAAAGGATGCGGTATTAACATCAATGCCGAGCACATCACTCACCTTCGATTTGCCGACGATATGGTCCTTATGGCATAATAGCTTGAGGTTCTAAGCACTATGCTCAATGACCTCAATAGTGTCTCCCAACGGATAGGTCTTAAGATGAACATGGACAAAACAAAAATCATTTTTAACGTCCATGTCACACCTATGCCGGTAGTTGTTGGGAGCATTAAGCTCGAAGTTGCTGACGAGTATGTTTACCTGGGACAAATAGTCCGACTAGGTAAGTCCAACTTCGACCGAGAGGTCAATCGACGGATTCAACTCGGCTGGGCAGCGTTCGGGAAACTACGACACATCTTCTCGTCAGACATACCTCAAAACCTTAAAACGAAATTGTATAACCAGTGCGTGTTGCCAGTGATGACTTACGGAACTGAGACGTGGTCCTTCACTTCTGGCCGTATGAGGAAGTTCAAGGTCACTCAGCGAGCTATGGAGAGGGCTATGCTCGGGGTTTCTCTGAGTGATAAACTTAGAAATGAGGTTATCCGCAGTAGAACCAGAGTAACCGACCATAGCCCAACGGTTTAGTAAGCTGAAGTGGAAGTGGGCTGGCCATATAGCTCGAAGAACCGACAACCGATGGGGAAGAATGGTTCTCGAGTGGCAGCCTCGTACCGGTAGGCGAAGTGTAGGGCGACCCCCCACTAGATGGAGTGACGACCTGGTAAGACATGCAGTAAGTCGATGGATGCAGGTGGCTCAGGACCGTGCTTTGTGGCATTCCTTGGGGGAGGCCTTATGAAAGGCTGTAATGATGAATGATGATGAAATCTAACCAGCACATCGTAAATTTTTCGTCACTGTTTAATGATTTCTTATATTTACGCAAATGCTATACATGGAGTAAAACTAATTTTAAGGATTTTATCGCGTTTAATTTTAACTTTTTTTTAAACCCATGGTCATGGGGGGACTGATGTGTTTGACGTCCTAATGTTATAGTTAACGAAGGCTACCTTCAACTTTGTTTCTTAACACTTTCAATGAACACCTTAGCATACAGTTTTCCGACAAAGCTTAGCAGAGAAATTCCACGGCAATTTTTACAGTCCTACAGTGACCCTTTTCCCTTGTAAAATGGAACTGTATCCCCTTTGCACCACTCACTTGGTACTCGCTCATTTCCATAGATAACTACAAATAATAGAGTTATACGATGTTGTCCACCTGCTTATCATATTTTAAAATTCAATTAATATTGTTTTCAAACAATAGGTTATGGAAAGGCACCCATGTTGGCACTCACATAATTAATTATACGTTGGTTTTATATATATTTAATGGGCATATTTTTAATGACTTTAAATTGATGACAAAGGTAAAGTCTAATATTACTTATGAATTGAATTATAATATTCAATATGAAGTACTATGAAACCAGGGGTTCGCAAAAACCGTATATACATATATGTTTCGGTATTTTTTTTTATCCTTCCAGATAAAATAAATTATGTCTTTATTTCTAAAATAACATTTCTTGTAAAATTTATAATACATTATAGTTTCTACTGCTACTACTTGTCTACTTTTTTGAATTTTGTTTAACGAAATTGAACATCTTTCTATAAAACTCAAAATAAAAAACATCGGTTGCCAACCTGCCTGCCAAACGTGTCAACTGTGGCAAATATCACCCTTATGCGGACGTTTATGCCTCCCCTCCCCATTATAACTATGTTGAGTGTAGACTTTTGATAGGTTGAAATGAATGCATGAATGAAAAGTCATTATTTGTAGAATTTAATACTAGAGGAACATGGGGAAGATCAATATTGTTAATGTGAAGCTTACTACTATTACTATATATTATATTATGTATTTTCTAAAATGTCGCAAATTTTTTCTCTTTTCAGTTCTATATGTCGCCGTCGTTAGCGATGATTGGATTATGCGTAGTACCCCCTGTTTCGATGTTGGCCGTCATATACGGGCGGTTCGTTCGCGGCATCACAAGACAGCTGCAGACGACTTTAGCTGAAACAAGTGAGGTGTGATGTACAAAATAATAATAATTTTGTTTTGATCTCATCCTTATACGCTGCATAACATTGATCTTTTCCGCCGACTCTTGAGAATCTGTTGGACATCTCTGACGCAGCCCTAATACGATCGATTCAATTGCGTTATGTAGGCTTGCAGTTCAAATGCAGACCGTACGCGTAGATCTATACGTGGTAGAACTGTATGTCTACTACGGCTGCAAAACGAATGGGCCGACTCAACCATGGAAGGACAACGCTCGGAGAGAATATCCCCGTATCTGCTGTATTTGGTATAGTAAGTGATGGGATTTTTACTGATGAGAAAACATTTTTTTTATAGGATAGGGTGACAAACGAGCTTACAGTCCACCTGATGGTAAGCGGTTGCTGTGGCCCATAGACATCTACATATATCCTCGTTTGCGAATCAAAATGCAGAAGCGTTGTCACCCGTGAGGACTAAGATGGAATGCCTCTTTTCCAGTAAAAAGGGTATCCGGTTCTCTACACTCACCAAACGAAACACTGCAGCATTAAGCTGCTATTTTACGCTGGTATTCTGTGAGAGCGTGGTCCTTCCCCGGTCGAGCCGACCCATTCGTGCTACAACCATACTACTAATAAAGCTGCAGCATGGCTGTACCATGTACAAAACATTTTATCTTAGTCCTCAGATGAGACTTAGCATCTGAATTTTAATTTTTGTCTAGGAGCGCCAGCATCTATTTACCATCAGCTGCAGTATGTACTCGTTTCTTGACCTTAGTAATATGAAAAGCCTATAATTGACATTTATATAAAATTTCTAACTTCGTGGACAGTAGATGAAATTTTCGTGAAAAATGTCAGTGTTTGTCACCCCACCCTTACTTTAAATGAAGACCTATATAATATTATTATTCTTTATTAGCATCTATGTTGTAAATTCTACGCTAATATATTTAACATAAAACTTTACTTTTTTAGTTAGCTGAAGAAAAAATTTCAAACATTAAAACTGTAAAAGCTTTTAGTAAAGAGGAGAAAGAATGTGAATCATATGCACAACGAATAGAAAAAGTACTGAAATTGGCATACAAAGAATCCCTAGCTGTGGGCAGCTTCTACGGAATGGTAATAATTTGTAACGAAATAATTAATTAATATAATTATAGATTAGTTATTACTTTCGTTAAAAGTTATTTTAGCTAATATTTTGTAAGATATCAAAAAATAAATTAATATTGATTTTAATTTGTTGTTTATGATCTTATTTTATTGCGTGTTTATTTGAATATTGTTTCATTAAATGGCATCGTTCGATGGTGAAATGGATTAATCGACGTCGATGAGCTCCTTGATTAGTCGAAAATATTTTGAAAGATAATAATGATGGACCTACAACCACATCGATTATTTTTCTATCGACGTTTTATCTACCAGTATCCGTCAATCAGCTAAAGCTACCACCACACTAATCGATCGACACAGATCGACGTCGATTAATGGCATTGAAGGATAAATGGTGGTAACACCCTAAACAATATAAATGTTTCCTAGACAGGGCTTGCGGGAAACACAATAATAATACTGGTGCTTTATTATGGAGGCAGTATGGTCGCTACAGAAGTTTTGACCGTGGGGAACCTTACTTCCTTCCTTCTCTACGCAGCCTATGTTGGCATAAGCATAGGAGGCTTGAGCGGCTTCTATACAGAGCTAAACAAAGGCCTGGGAGCAGCCACGAGACTGTGGGAGATAATGGATAGGAAACCTTTAATTCCTGTGACAGGTTTGTATTTTATATTTGATAGGTAATATATCACGGCTCCTGTTATTATTTGTGTTTTAACCCACGAAGCATACAGAGGGGTGTTATAAGTTTTACCGCTATGTGTGTCTGTCTGTGGTACCGTAGCTCTTAAACGGGTGAAGCGATTTGCGTGCGGGTTTTTTTTTAATTTAAAAGCAGGTTTTCTAGCGGTCGTTAATAGACATGTTTTATCAACATCGGTTCAGTCGTTTGATGATCATCAGCTCTTCTGCTTCGGGGGGGGGGGGGGGGTGATTTTCAATGTAATTTATTCTGCTTACTAACATTTCCTACTATAATGTGAATTTACTTTTATAAGACTTTAAAAAAGACATCAGACTTCAGACTAAAAAAAGCATTGGTAAAATTATACTGACAAAACTTAATACATAACTCATTTAGAATTTAGTAATTTGAATCAACTTTTGTATAATTGCTTTTTCTTTGTTGAAATATATCTTTTTTTTTATTTAAAGTTTTTTTTTTAATATACAGGATGTTTGTGAAACGCTCCCGAAAACGAAGACAGACGATAGTACTAACGATACCTTTGATGATGGATCAGAAAGAAAATCGATCCCTAGGAAAAAAAATCATCTTTTCACAACGTTTTATTAGCTTTATTCACGCTCCATTTTGTTAGTACAGCTAAATGAAACGATAATATCATTAAAAAAAAATCATGAAAATACTTAAACATAAAACCAGCACTGGAACTTAAAATAAAATAAGCTGAAAATAGGGCCAATATTCGCGTGGCCCGCAGCTAGCGACCGTACCAATACCTAAAAATTTACAACACTTGTCTAAATACCTAACTTATCTACTTAACCTACTATTTTGCCACAGTGCTTATCTCCACTAGCCACTTTAATTTGGATTCACAGTTTAAATAAATTAAATACCTGGTTCGATTCCCCGCTAATGAAAAATTTACTTAAATGAAATATTAACAAGGATGAGAAAGATTCATGGCTTTTTTATCCATCGTATAGGTATATTTATTATTCTGATGTATTCAGTTATGTGCCTATTCAGATCAGTTTAGTACTAAGTTATTTAAAAAAAAATAGGTATGAAACAGCGTACCGATCATAATCCTCCGTGGCCTTAGGAGATTCTCCAAGGCACACTAACATGTTGCCGTATTCACGAACATTATAAACGTACGAGTAAGACCTTATTAAAACAAAGCAAGAAATACAAAACGTAGCAACAAGAATTTAATAAACAAAATTATTGAACTGTCGTGTCGCTCACGCGATAATCAACACGGAACTATCAATCCCGCCAAAACAAATGCCTACCGCTAAGTGCGTGCGTCCTATCGTCCTTGCGGTAAGCACTTTGATCATTTCCCCAGATCGTTAAACCGTTACGACATTGCCAATTTTTATTTTATAAGTTTAGTTATCCCTACGATTAGTCTTCATATGGAATTTAGAAGTTATAGTTTTAATTTTTTAATACAATTAGACAATCTATTGTACCCTGACGCAACAAGTAGTTCGTAACGAAAGTAAAGTAGTACAAAAACAATATTGAAATTAATAAATATACCTAATTGGGTACTCACTTACACAATTTTTAACACTATTTCCTCGTTATCTTTGATTTTACACAAGAAAATAGAAATGACATGGTACTGAATAATTTAATGGTTAAAATCAATTGTGATTATGATCGACAGTTATTAATCTATAAAATAATTCTTTTAGTTTATTTTAATTGATTTTCCGTTTTTGATTCGTCCAATACTTTGAATTTAAAAAGAGGTACGTCAAATCTATTTAAAATTACTTGCAAGTTTTATAGTGATTGCCGCCTCTAATTCTTATGTCACCTGAAAACAAATCTTAGTAGGTAAATTTCGGTACAACAAGGCAGCGTGCCAACACCAATTTGTCAAATTTCCCGAAAATCCATGTCAAATTCCCCAATTTAAGGACAAAACTTCAACAGATTCCCCACAAATTCCTCTCAATTTTTTTAAGAAATGATATCATCTTCAACTAATTTTATAAGATTTATCTTTTAACTAACATTTTTTTTCTTTTTTACCGAATTTTTTTTCACACTTCATATATTTGTAACAAGCATTTTACTCCATGGAGTATTTTACTTCCTTTCCTTGTTGCCATTAAAAAGTATCACAGTATCTGCATTTATATGCATACGGTTCTCTGCTTTAAAATTAAAAATAAAGAAATGAAAAGCATTAAATGATACACAAAATCGATTTTCAAAATCTTCGCATTTCCCCCTCATAGTACCCAATCCCTAAAAAATTCTCAACCAACTTTAAATTCCCCGTAATTTGGGAAATTCCGCACATGTTGGCAACACTGACACTGAACATGTGTAAATTGCACAGCGCGAGTAGCCACACGAGTCGGCCGGGCGACGGCAGCGCGTGTGTGAAATGGAAGGGTAGAGTGAGTAGTAATACGCATTGTTTCGTACCCGGTTAGATAAGACTTCGGCCTTCGCGCAAATATTGAGAGTAAGTATTTTCACGATTTTTTTTAATGAAATTATCGTTTCATTTAGCTGTACTAACATGATGGAGCGTGAATAAAGCTAATAAAACGTTGTGAAAAGATGATTTTTTTTTCCTCGGGATCGATTTTCTTTCTGACCCATCATCAAAGGTATCGTTAATACTATCATTTGTGTACGTTTTGGGAGCGTTTCACAAAAACCCGGTGTTTTACAAAAGGAAAAAATAATTTGTATTTTTGTAATTTTTTTGCGATGATCTGTTAAATACTGTCGCGGTACTTTTAGGTGGTTTAAGGCCAGCTGTAAGTCCGAAGGGTGAGATATGTCTAGAAAATGTAAGTTTTTCGTACCAAGGAGCGCCTTTAATCAATGGAATGAATATGCATCTGACGCCGGGTAAAAATATCGCGTTAGTTGGACGGTCAGGTTGCGGCAAAAGTACGATAGCATCGCTTATATTGAGGCTATATGATCCAGACGACGGAAGGATACTGTTAGACGGTGTTGATATAAGGGAATTGGATCCAGTGTGGTTAAGGAGCCATATTGGTTTCGTCAGTCAGGTAATTATCTTATTTTATATTTATGATTGATAAAAAATATGTCATTAAAATTGAGTGACAAATACACGCATACTAAAATTATAATTAACTAGCTAGTACGCGGCGCGTTACTGCCGCAGATGAAATAATTGTGGAAGTATCGTTTTAAATTTGAAAGAATTATATTGTTTAATTAGGAATGATAATACACTCATTGAAATGGAATGATATAGAACTTTCAAATATATTTGTCGATACGATACGCGCGCCACCTACTCTAAGTTAATTGTACTATGCCTATAACATTCGCGCAAGTGCAAGCAATAAGTAGACAAAGTTTTACCGCAATCTGATGAACGGTATGGCGGCGCATAAAATACGAACAAACAAACATTATTTTTTATATAAGTATTAGATTACCGTTAATAGCATACAGTCCACTGCTGGTTCAAACAAACTACATAATTAATAATCACAGAATCAGACTATTTGCACATTTTTTCAGTATTTCTCTGGACTTTTTTTATTAAGGCTTTATTTTTATTTTTTAGCTATACCTCATAGATATTCTCTTTTTGAAGTCTCACTTGTATTGTCCGGATGGTCTTTTCTCCATACAAACACTCTCGCCTGTTTTGTTTCTAGTTTATGATCTTATAGCAATGAGTTTTTACACTAAAATATGTCCACATGTTTTCCTTTTTGAAAATACATTATCTTTATAAGAACTTACTTAGAGGCCTATGGTTCAAATTTGATAACTAATACTGAAAAAAGTATTATCTTATTCAGTTTATGAAATATCTTTTTAATTGGACCAATATTTATTTTATTTATTTTATTTTATTAAGAAAACCAACAGCCTTACAAATTGTATATCTTATAACTATGTGTAATGTAGTATTGCCAATAACAGGTTTCCCTTAAATTAACAAATGGCACTGTAACAATCAAACTTTGTTAGTGCTAAAATTAACTCTATAAATATACTAAGGAATTCAAGGATGCCATCCGCTTAAACCTATCAATATTATAGATAGTTAAGTAGATACTAAGCTAAACTGTACACCACACAAAACAAATCAGGTAAAGAAATACAATATACAATATACATGTTATTGGAAGAGGAAATGGTAGAGAGCCAAGCCTCGAATTATGCCTTTTTACTTAGGCTATTCCGTCGGATCTGCAGTAGTCCTTATCGGACGCCGCCCGCAGAGCGACAGCGATATTTTCTTTAATACCTAATTTTCAAATCTCTCGGCCCGCATTTCCTCTTAACAGTGCAGTGTAGTTGATAAATAAATTCGTAAAATTTTATTTTAAGTTCAATTATTGCTGGAATTCTTAAACTTGCCCCTTATTTCACTTTTACAACGTTCATGATTCAAGGTAGAGTGGAAAAAATTACTTATATATTTGGTTTTTTGTGAGTAAAATTGTATAAATTTTTGTATGTACAAGGATACAATTCTCTTTTAATACTTCTTTTTAATGAGTGTGTATCGATATAGGTCTAGAAGACACGTGCCAAAACCAAAATTTTGTGATTTACACTTTTTAATACTAAAAACATTCTAAATAAATAGATCGCATCTTTTGCACTTATCGGAAAGTTATAATTCCATTTATTTCGGTCTAAACCGAACCTGTACATTTATCATAAGAAACGTGAGGCACGAGACAAAATAATGAAAGTCGCTTATCTACCCATGATAGAAATGATAAAATGTATTAAGCAGCTTTAAATCACTTTATTTATGAGTATTCAAATTCACACAAACTTTGTGTTTTGTAATGATAGGCAATTGACACCTAAAATCTAAAATTGGTACCTAATGTACATAACAATTTAGGTGGAAGTTATAAAAATAAATATATTTATTTAAAAAAAGAACTATTTTTATTTCTAGTAATTACATAATAATTGAAAATCATATTATGCTATGCACTAAGTGGACTACTGAATAACAAAATAATGATCGAAAGTATTAAGTGAATGTAATTTTTCATAATACTGAGTATTTCTCAATACTTTTTCTAGTTCAGAACAATTCTTTAAAATTAATTGTATAACAGATAAATACCCTAACTTACAGCAGAAGTATAAGATACGTTATTTCTCTCTCTCTCTTTTTTTTGTCTTTTTAAAAAACGTTACACTGCTCAACTTTACATACTAACGGGTCAAACTTTAAAATTTATTTAAACTGCTCTCCTGAAAAATTACTATCTCTGTAATTAATACGTTTGTCTTCTAGACCATCGATATCATCGATCACTAATAAAAAAAACTAGACAAAAAATCAGTGACAAAAATGTCCTTACCGAATGAGTGCCCATTCAAACATCTGGCTGCGCTTTTAATTTGTACGTAGTTTTGTGAATACAACTTTAGGCAATGCAATATAAGGTTGAATTTACATTAATGTATATTTATTTGAACTAGAATTACGCCAAAACAATTGGCGACAGTTTTTAAAGAACTTTTGCATGGGATTGTGTATCTAGTTTTTTTATTAGTGATCGATGGTGTATATTAATAATCTCTTAATTACTGTTGAAATCCCAAATTTATTTGACATGCCCTTTATATACGTTCGTGATTCTTGGTGGAGTGGATAAAATTATTTAAATATTTGCTTTTTTTGCGAGTTAATTTAATGTATAAATTTCCAGGAACCTGTACTTTTTAGTGGATCAATCAAAGAAAATATATTGTATGGAGCAATAGGCGACGGCGAAGAGATGGTTGAAAATAATGTAAGAATTTTTCGATTTCCCGAAATAATATTCCAGGATATATTTTTCTTTTCTTGACAATGACAAAAATGTATGTATGCTTTAATAAAGTGGGATGTGTGATTGAGAATATCGCCAACATAGCCCACACGCGATGCACAGTGTATATATAAATGGATCAGCTTTCCCAGAATTCTTTGAACAATAGGGTAGCATTATTAATGCAAGGGGTCTTTGATCTCCGCTCGCCAACCAGCTGTACAAAGCTGTAGAAATGCCTATGTGCAGAGGTGGACTTAAAACAGGCTTATTTCAGCTTTTTACTATCAGTTTGTCTTGTGGAAAATTTTTAATTTGTTACTGGCATACATAAATTATACAGGGTTATTTTAATATGCGCACAAAATTTTCTGGTACAAAACGCTTTAATCAATTAAAAGCATTTTGATAACATTTCATGGTTGTATGAACTAAGATCACTGCCTTCTTTGCACGGGAAAAAAGGACTGAAGAGATGTTAGTACTCATACGCAATTTTTTCTTACGGTCAGTCGTACGGCTGACCGCATGCAAAAATATATACGTAAAATCTATTTCTTTGCGCACTGCGATGCGGGTAGCCGCTCCGGTCGCTCGGAGGGCTGCGGCCTGAATGACTGCCAGCCGGACGGTTGCTATTCTCACTGTGCCGCTCAGTTTGCGACTGCCCGCCATTGAGTGAGATTGTGTGCGTGTTGTTCGTTTATGATGGTTACCGAAAAATTTATCATCGAAATCCAGAGTCGGCCAGCAATTTAGAACACTAAATAGCCACAATATTCCGATAAAATTTTAAAATCCATTTTTGAAATGAATCGATACGACCAACGGTTCTTCAACCGAAGGTTACGATTGCGAACGCGGCTGCCCGCAATCCGGTTGGCTGTATTCGCAACTACATCCTGCGGTCAGCCGGACGGCTAGCCCCATTGAAGTTACCCGCGTAATGCGTATGAGCGCCTAGTATCTATTTTAATAAATATCTATTTAAATAACAATTTAAAGAAGCCACCAAAACTCAGACAAGCGAAAAATGACATAATGCCCGTTGTAATAAGAGTGTTAATCGTGCGCAGGGTAAACTGGAGCCGGCGTGGCTGGTGGCGGCGCGAACCGCGCAACTGCAGGAAGTAGTCGGCGCGCAGGGCTGGCGGCGCGACGTGGGCGCGGGCGGCTCGCAGCTCAGCGGCGGACAGAAGCAGCGCGTGGCCATCGCACGGGCTATCGTCAAGGTAAGCGCTGCAGCAGCTGCAGGAAGCAGTCGGCGCGCAGGGCTGGCGGCGCGACGTGGGCGCGGGCGGCTCGCAGCTCAGCGGCGGACAGAAGCAGCGCGTGGCCATCGCACGGGCTATCGTCAAGGTAAGCGCTGCAGCAGCTGCAGGAAGCAGTCGGCGCGCAGGGCTGGCGGCGCGACGTGGGTGCGGGCGGCACGCAGCTTTTTGAAGTCGATAAAAAAAAAGAAGACTGTATTCATTTGTCAAAATAAATAAAAATTAATAAACGATTCTCTTCAACTACTTGTGCAGCAATTGCAGTTTTGTCGAAAAAAAAACAAATAATCACTCAAAAAGTGTTATTATCAAGGTAGGTAGCATGCCCACGCACATATCGCTATGTAAATATAGAATTAGTACATTTTATAACTAAGAATACATAAAAAAATTGTTTATCAAAAATAAATGTTGCTCATCTAAATAAATAAAAATGTTCAGTCAAAAAGTATCAGGAATGGATGATTTATTTATGGTTCCAAATTCAACTGTTTTCAATTTTGGCGCGTTTTAGTTTGAGTTACATCTGTTATTTAGATTAAACACAGTAATGTTTTAGCATTATATCTAGTGTGTATTTTGAATTACACAATGGACAAAAACATCTAATAAAGTGTTTGTCTTAAATTTTGCATCGCCAATGGAATTTCGTGTTCGGAGTCACTGAAAATGTTACAGAAGGCTTACGGTGAATCGACTTTATCAAAAACACGTGCTTATGAGTGGTATAAAGCGTTCAAAAGCGGTCGAGATGTGATGGAAGATTTGCCTCGCTCTGGTAGGCCATCAACTTCTGCAACTGAAGTTAATGTCGCAAAAGTGAAGGAAATAGTGACTGAAAATTCTCCTTCAAATTTTAGAGAGATAGCCGCCGAACTTTCTGTGTCTCGCGAGTCGGTATCCGTACCATTTTAAATAATCACTTTGGTATGAAACACGTTGCCGCTCGGTTAGTCCCAACAGACCTGAATTTTCTCCAAAAACTCAATCGCATAAGAGTCGCTAAGGACATGCTAGAACGAGTTAATTCCGACCCAACATTCATGAAACGCATTTTTATTGGTGACGAGACGTGGATTTACGAGTTTGACATGTAAACTAGTCAACAAGCTTGAGTGGCGCCTTCCAACTGAACCGAAACCTAAAAAACCACGCCAAAGTAGATCAAAAGTCAAAGTCATGTTGACTTTTCTTTGACTATCGCAGTGTTGTGCACTCGGAATTCTTGCCGGGAGGTCAAACGGTAAAAAAATAATATTAGTTGAGTGTTATGCGGCGTTTAAGAGAGCAAATTAGACGAAAAAGGCCAGATTTGTGAAAAGAAAATTCTTGGATTTGGCATATATGCGACATTGACGATAATGCCTTCGCACAAGGCCATCATTTTGAACGAATTCTTGACCAAAAACTCAACAAATACCATCGAGCAACCACCTTATTCACCTAATATGACTCCAGTCGACTTCTTTTTTTTTTCTCTCCTTAATTCAAATTACCACAATTGAAGACGAAAAGGAGAATTCGCAGCGAGAACTGAATTCAATTCCGGAAAAAGCGTTTAAAAAATGTTTTGATGATTAGATTATTCGTTGAAGAAAATGTATCGTTTCTAAAGGAGCATACATTGAAGGTGATAAAATAAACCTGGATGAATAACTAACATTTTGTGTATTATTGATCTTTTCCTGATACTTTCTTGACAGCAGTGTAGTATTTCAGAATGGTAGAAACGTTCAGAAAAATAATACATTGTAGTGAATATTAAAACTTAAGTTTTTTTCCGTATTAGAGCTATTTCTTCAATGTTTCAACTTTACAGGGTTTAACTTACTAGCGTTTTAGGACACTCTTGGCGTATGGCTTATTCCTTGGTCTGACTCACTGGGTAATGCACTTTCTAAGTGAACGGTCCCTTATCTTGGGAGATTCAACGCCTTCAAAAGACAACCGTGTCTCTTCACCGCAAAAAGTTGCCTGCTCCTACTTTCCGTGATGTATCTTTGGATTACAGCGAACGCCTATAGTTGTTAGAGATTGAGATCCAAATCTTAACTTTGGCTTTTAAGTCTATTACCAAAGCAGCGCTTGAAAACTCGATGTTCTTGCAAGGGAATAGCGGTACATCACACCAGGGCAGCTTCTTACCCTATATTATATAAAGTGCAAGTTCGGACTTGAATGGAGTACGGCTGTTACTTATTAGTTTGTGCTGCAAAATAAAACCTAGCTGCGTTAGATTCAGTGGAGATCTATGCTACGGGGCTTATTGGTGACCTTGTCTGCTATGAGAACAGGTGCGAGGTATTCAGCTTCTCTGTATTCTATAGGATACATTCCAGAGAGTGCACAAGAGTTTTATGGTTTAATTACTTCCTTCCCTTTTAGCCATCGAACAAACAGACATTCGGCGGGTCTCCGCCCCTTTGTTGTCGATATTCCATGCATTTGTACCAAACGCTTTGTTTCGTTTTTTGTAATGAGTATAGTAAAGAATTGAAAGAATTTATTGCCGGCGTCTGTCTTTTTGTCCGATTACAATCTGGGTGTCTTCAAGACAAGAGAGCATTGGCTTTTGTTACGCTATAACAGTGCAATTAACAATTTAGGGCTTCATCACCACTTATCACCAACTGTAGTCTTATAATAAGTACAAGGGGTAAAAAAAAATGTACAATCGATTTCAAACAAACAAAAAAATACAGTCGAATTGGACCTCCTCTTTTTTGAAGTCGGTTAACAAAGTACAATCACGATTCGATTTTAACGGTATAATCACAGCAAATTGCTTCATTTCTAATAAACTGATTCCGATTATACAAAACTTCATTTCTATTTCAGAATCCCAAAATTCTCATACTCGACGAAGCTACCTCAGCCTTAGACGCTTATTCTGAATACTTAGTAGATAAGGCGCTCAAGGATATAAGTAAGGATCGAACTGTTCTTACCATAGCACATCGACTGAGCACCATACAGTCTGCAGACGAAGTCGCCGTCATCGACAATGGACATATAGTAGAGAGAGGGACTTACAGAGATTTGATGTCGATAGAAAATGGCATTTTCAAAGAATTAATAACTCATCAAACTTTCGCTTTGAAACCCAGAGAGAAACGTGAAGTTCAAAAACAATGATGGCACGTTAATGACGTTTCAAATATAGAACAATTATTTTCTTGACATGGTATTTTTTTATTTAAAAATATTTACATTTATATTTTTATGTTGGGATTTAATTCTATTTTTGTAAAAATTTGGAACAAAATTATGAATAATTGTTAATAATTGCTTATAATTATTTGACTCTTGATGTTAAAAAAAAAATGCTTTCCAAAAGTGTTTTGGTATAAATGGTATCAATTATAGGTGATTAAATGATGGTAAGATAAAAATATAACATCGCGAAAAATATTATCGTAAAATACCAAAGTGAGTTTGGGTATTAAATTGAAACTTTACAAACCGGATTTGTTTTTAAATGTATGTGATTTCGCAATAGTCCATAAAATTACATAAAAAACCTTCAAAGGTCATTTGTACAAAACATTATTTATTGTATAAAAATTCAGATTCATTATGGTCAATTTCCTATTGTATTCGTTTTAAAAATGATTGCGTAGTATATTAGTGTTGTCGCACAAATTGATACCTAACCATTATTTTATTTACTGTGATCTATACATATATCATAACATTGGTTCGCCTCACATGTATGTTTCACAATGAGATAGTTCCTTAATTTATTATCTGCCGCCTTATACTTAACAATTTGCAATATTATTCTTGACGTTTCCTATATTAAGGAATATAGTTTTGGAGTTTTGTTATTTAACGTATGTACCTATAGTAAGGGTGGTAACAAAGTTAAGTATATGTTGACATATATTTACATATATAAGTATATGTAAATATATGTTTAATATAAAAAATATATAAATTATGTTGAAAATGGATGTAATTGCGGTGCGTGGAAAAATTATATATAAAGATTTGAATTGTAAATCTTTGACGGGTATTGGCCTTTTTTGTTATAGCGAAATAAATTAGTTGTTGTCATTTTACATTGTCTTTTATTTGTTTGTGTTCTATTTTCTTTAAGATACCGTTCAATGATATACTTCGCATATGTACGCTGCACCTAAAGCGAAAACAGCGCCAATAACGTTTGTATTACAAATAACGATATTATATTAATTATTATACAAAAAGTTATGTTCATTTATGTGGAATTTTTTAGTTGTTGCAAAAAATCCAATGAGTTTATTAAAATCGATAAATAAATATGTACTTAGTTAAATTATCAACGGAATATTAGAGAGAGATACTAAAAATAGATATTATTTTTATTGATATTTATATTACCTGAAAAAAAAACCTGTTTTTTGGTCAGGAATCTGAACTTGTTTTTTTTTATTTATTTAAAAAAAACGTTACCCCCACACTAGCATTTTCTCCTGTGTCGTGGAGGCAGTTTACAAACATAAATTGCACAAGGACAAACATCCAGACCCGGAACAACTATTTGTAGGCCATACAAATAGTTGTTCCGTGCGGGATTCGAACCCGCGGCCCCCAGCGCAACAACTGATTGCTAAGCCACTGCGCCACGGAGCCGTCGTGTTTAGGTTTATGATAAAATTTAAGCTTAGGTTAAATTGATTTATCACAAAAAAAATCAGTCTAGGTTTTTTTCATATTATATAAATAACATTTTTTTAGTATTTATTAAAATTTTTAATGTTATTGTAGGAACAATACGAAAATTAATATCATTTTGCATCTATTAATAATTTAGGATGAATATTAACAGCATTAATAATAACAGAAATTTTATAAATTTTTTATTTAATTATTATACTCATTTTTAATTTGAATTATATGTTTTTTCTTTAATATATTAAATATTTACTATATTAATCAATTATTTATTGTAAATGTAAAATTTTCTTTAAAAATATCTTTAGTAATTATTTTTTATCTTTAGGGTTCAAAAAGCTGGACTTTCTCAGTTTTAGGATAACATAAAGTAGTAATTATGTCTTCTTCCGGTTCGTGATCAAAAGCTTAGGGTTTTGATCAAAAACCGCGTTTTATCACAAACCTGCGACATAATATATAAACCGTTGACTGGCGATATCTTTTAAATATCTACTATAGTATTTAAACTACGATAGTAGTATTTATCGTATAGATAGCATTTAAACATCTACTGTTGGATTGAACTTTGGTGGATTTCTACTTCTACGAAAGAAAAAAATTGATAAGAAATAACGTCCAATAACATTTACGGCTCAGTACAACGATATTAAATTATAGTTCCCATAGATCTTATAAAGCGGTTATCATACGCAGTATATCTAACATAGTAGAATTACAGCGAGCGCTGATTTTGAATTTATTGAAACTAATTAAAACATAAGCGTAGTGTTAGGAGCGGAGGTAGCTCAGCTGCTAAGCGCTCGCCGTAAAACGCGAGCAACACGGGTTCGATTGCTGCCGACGCTTATGAAATTGTTATTTGTAAATTTCAAGTGCTGATTTACCACGTGCTCAGCGGTGAAGGTTCTCTTCTCGTAGTAGACCCATACTGCGGTTGTATTCTGGCTGTGGCACGGATGGTTAGGACCACGCTCTCACAGAATAAAGCTGTCCTCGGTTAAGAATCAAAATACAGACGCGTTGTCACCCCTGAGGACTAAGAGGGAATGCCTCGTTTCCAGCAGAAAGGGTCTCCGGTTCTCTACACTCACCTTACTAAATACAGCAGCATTAAGCTGGTACCTATTATGGTGGTCATTCCCTGGTTTAGCCGACCCATTCTTACTATAACCATAATATAGCTGCAGCGTGGCTCTAGCACATGGAAGTTATAATGTTGATGCCCTTCTGGTCAACTTAGAAAATCTTATAATAGGCGGCTGTCTTTTAGGAAATTTTAATATTGCAATGTATGTATGTATGTATGTATAACACCTAGATTATCGAGCTATATGGTAAAAAATGTTTATTTGAAGATTAATAAACTTTGCCCTCTGACGTGACGGTCTAATGCCGTCGCGCCAAAACACGGCGCGAGCTGTTTGGTAAGTACATTTGCTCGTCGTTGTTTCGTGGAGATACATTCTGTAGAACATGTCCCATATTAAAATTATACGCAATTGTTTCCCTCGTCTTTGTAAAAATATTACCTCATACAGCGGATGTTTAAAAAAACCGAAAACGTACAGGTTCGCTTTAAATTCCCGCTGTTTTACACGCAACTTCGCAACTCAAACTGCCCCTGATCTGGATAATAATGTTTTGAATTCGCCATGGGGTGAAATTAAAGTTGGGGATGAAACTTTAACTGAATATGTGTTTAGTGATTACGAGCTGTGGGCGGATAAGCCGTCTGTGGTAAGTGTTTCTTTTTTAATTTTCATTTTACACGTTATGTTTTTTTTAACTTTTATTTTAATTAAAACCCTTTCAAAGCATTATTTTAGCGGAATGAATACAATTTAAGTATAAAACTTACATTTATAATGTAATTGATTTATGAAAAATATATTATTTCTTATGAAGTCTGTAAAAACAATAATTATTGACTAACGAGTAAAAATTGTCTAAAAATAATGACGTGGTTGTGATATGTACCATAATTAAGTACAGTAAAATTAATAAAGGTAGATTATTTTTCAACATTAATTATTTTACTTTATTTTTTAAATTTAATAAAAAAATCACAAAATACATAAACTGTTTTTTAAATAAGATATAAGTATTACTACCTATATTTTTATTATAAATAATTTAAAAATAACTTTGCACGACTTAACATTAAAAATGTAACACTGAATTTTTAACAAATTTAAAAAGATATTTCAAAGATAATAATTCTAATATCTAGAGTACAAAGTTCGTGGCGTTCTATATTTGCTCAGATGTTGACACATACTGAAACATTGATTGTATAAATAGTCCATATCCGAAGGTTAAAACTATGATTAGTTATTTGGCAAGAAATTCAATAGAACTTGTAAACAAAAAAGTAGACAAATGCCAGCAATTAAATTATAAAAGCATTATAAAAAAAATTAAGGAACCACTATCTTTTCTTATCAGTGTCAGAGATATAGTCGTAGATAGAGAGTAGGTTGCATGCATTGTTAATGCATTGTTGCGAATAAAAATATGAGGACCAGGTGCTTCTGTATATTTGTGCGTATACGAGTAGGTAGATACTTGCAGTATTGTTACATCTTAACGCTTTACAAGTAACTTCTGATAGTCAGAGATCGTTATTGTGTTAGAAATAGTTTAGAGCAACGGGGAAAATTATCAACAGCTTCTTTTTGGATTTCGTTGTTGTAAATTTTTACTTTCTTGCACATTTCCTATCTATAAAATAATAATTAATAGGTGTGTACTAAAATGTACGTAGGTAACGTACGTATTAGTACAAACCTCAATGTGAAACCGGAAAAATAATACTCTACTTTCTGTAAAAAAAAAAAAAATAATGCCATTTTGTCAATTTAAAATGTTTAATCAATCTCTACAGAATATATTCATATATAGGAAATATAGCAAAGAGGACATCAATTTTATTGAGTCTGTTATAATAATAAATGTTTTGTTTGTATAATATATTAACATAGAAATAATTAATTTCAAAATGTCTTTCTAAATAAAAATAAATTATATGGACGTCAAAGGTATATTAAATTTAATCTATGTATAATTCAGACTTGCGGTAGCTCAGGCAGATCATATCAATACGGCATGCTACGAATGATGGTGGAACGTTGCGCTATGGGGTTAATTGGTCACATGCGTTTGTCACCCGGCGAGCGCATCGGCCTAATATTGCCAAATATTCCTGAATTTGCGGCGCTCATACATGGCGCGATAAGAGCTGGACTAGTTGTAACCTTTGCTAACCCGTTATACACTGCTGGTAAGTACATACATAATATAGTAGCCTAATGGTTCTAGGACCTACTTTTGCTACTGTGCCGTGAATTCTGGGTTCGAATCATGCAACTGTTCAACGGTGGTGGAGCCATGCTACTGCTATATTGTGGTTTTAACACGAATAGGCCGGATTGATAGAGGAAGGACCACGCTCTCATAAAATACCAGAGTAAGCAGATTAATGCTCCTGTGAAACACAGTGGTATGGTGAGTTTAGAGAACCGGAGAACCTTTTTACTGGAAATGATGCAATCCATCTTAGTCATCTGATGATCTTAGTGATCTTTCTAGTCGGTTTCGGTCACGGCGTTAATTTCCAAATAGCTATTCGATAGATTATACTCGTATTATAGTAGTGCTACAAGCGAGTATATACAGAAAAACTCACTCATCATAACCCACGCATGCCCCATGCAACGTCTAAAAGAGTTTTTTTGAAATATAGAATCAGGAGGGATAGGCCAACACACAATCCACCTAATAGTAAGTGGTTGCTGTGGCCCATATACATCTACATCTGTCTTCGATTATGAATCAAAATGCAGATGCGTTGTCACCCGTGAGGACTAAGATGGAATGCCTTTTTTCCAGTAAAAAGGGTCTTCGATTCTCTACACTCACCATACGAATCACAGCAGCATTAAGACGCTATTTTACGCTGGTATTCTGAGAGCGTGGTCCTTCCCCGGTCGAGCCGACCCATTCGTGCTACAACTATACTATAAATATAACTGCAGCTTGGATCTACCACGTATATAATACACCTATATAATAAAATATATATATAATAAAATGTCGTAAATAATTTAATTTCATTTAGACACTAAAATAGCGTTTGACCTAATACAAATCAATGAATAACCCGGTCACATTAATTTTAGTAGTTTACTTATTATCTATTAAAGCATTGACATCGACAAAGCAACGTTACGGGTTAAAGTACACAATAATAAATGCGATTGTTTACTATTACTTGTGGTACCACTTACGTTACCGTTTACGTAATGAATCGTAGTAATCAAGTACCACCGGTTCATTCAGTATATTTCATTGTTTGTTTGTGTTCTTTATTACAAAAGGTTGCACTGGAATTTTCTCCGTATCGTGGAGGCAGTAATAGATAAATTACTCAAGAACAAACATCCAGACCCGGATCTATTAGTTGTAGGTCACACAAATACTTGTTCCGTGCGGGATACGAACCCGCGGCCATCTGCGTTGCAATCAATACTAAGCCACAGCGCCACGGAGCCGTCCGCTGTTGCTTGGCATTGAATTGCTTTCTAAAGGTGAAAATAGTTTCCTAACTTACACTACACAGTCATGCGTCAATTTTCACTCTAACAAATTAGTAAAATTAAAATTATTTTAAATGAAAAGACAATAGTAAAATTAATGTAAATTAGTATTCGGGCAACTGGGATTCGATTCTCACCGGTGCCACTAAAATTATTATTGATCATTTTTAAGTGCTCAAGTAATACAGTGAAGGAAAACTTCTTGAGGACATCACATGTCCTCACGAAGTTTTCGTGTGTGCGTGCCTCTTCCCTGCTCCGAAACTTTACTTGATATTTTATTCTATAACCATCACACTGCTAAACATTTTTCCATTTTTAGTTTTAATTTCCTTCTGTCGCCTTTTACAACAGCCACTGGATGCTAGTAGTGCACTATTTGACACGGCTACCAGCTCTTTAACAAATACAAAAAATACGATTTAAAACATATAAGTATACGTTTGGTTTTGTGAACATGTAAGTACACTTTATTTGGTTTAATGACAGTATTTGTTCTAATAAAAAGATACTATGTTATACAAACAGAGGAAGTTAGGAAGCAGTTCACGGACTGTGATGTAAAAGCGATCGGAACTATCGAGATGTACATGCCGCTCGCGCAAGAAGTCAGCAAGTCGCTGAAGGACTATAAAGGAACTATTTGGGTCGGAGGTGAAGACGATAAAACTAATGGTAAGCATGCGTAATACGTTTATTGTAATTTAGGTATATACTTGAGATCGTTAGTATAATTTTCGTTACAATTTCAGGAATATTCGGACTTCGCTCGCTTCTGATGGCGGATCACAAAGCCGACCTACCGAAATTAAACTGCGAAGATGTATGCCTGCTCCCCTATTCCAGTGGAACTACAGGCATGCCTAAAGGTGTAATGCTTACGCACAAGAACCTTGTCTCCAATTTGAAACAAATACAATGTCCAAAGATGATGAAGTACAAAGGCGAAAAAGGTTAAGCTCGATTAATTTAATAAATCAATATACTCGTGTTAGCATTACATAGACTTGCCAAAACTTATTTATACATATATTTTATTTAAGTACTTAATATTTTTTTACAACGTAAGGTATTATTATCCATGTAGAAGTCAGCTTTGCTTTTACAGGTCACGGAGACGTAATTTTAACGGTGCCGCCATTTTTCCACATTTACGGATTCAACGCCGTTCTAAATTATAATTTAACTCTCGGATACCATGTCGTCTCCATGCCCAAGTAAGTGTTCTTTTCATCTCCTTCTTCACCAGCTCAAAAAAGTCAACTCCTGGACGTGGGCCTTTTCCGTTGCAGGGAGAATTTGCTTGGCAGGCGAATTGCTGCCTACCAAGCAACTTGTCATTACAATCGCAGTAGCAGACGTCTTGCATTTTTGACTCTGCTGCCAGACGCCGATCTAGATATTTACGTCTAACGAAACTAGATGCTACACCGCCATCTATCGGAAGTCATAAGATTTTTTTGATATTTAGCAGCCTTTTACAACACTCACAAACTAGGGTAGGCAATAGATTCCCTTAGGTCGCCAACATAAAACAAACGGACTTTTTCATAATCTTGTATCATCATCTTTTTCATCATCATCGTATATTTAAGCCTCATTCCGTCCTTCACTTATATTATATAAATGAATATCTAGATAGATATTCAGAATAATACAGATGTATTCTTCTGTATATTGTCCGATCCGGAGTACGGTGCCACTCACGCTTCCATCACAGTTGCGATCTGCAGCTTTCCGTCGTGTTTGGCACTAATGGTCGGCCGATTGGGACGTGACGCGGTCTTTTTTTGCATCCTACTCTTGGGGGCGGGTTTGCTTCTCGCCGGATGATCCCAACGTTGTTGCTGATTCTGTCGCTGATGTGGTACTTCAGGGAATGCAATTATTTATTCCATCATCTATGGTGCCTATCGGAGGCAAAACTCAGCCAGTATTGTAAAATTGCATCACGCTATAAGCAGGAGTGCTACCGAGCCTGGGCTGACGCATCAACGTCTCGGGATGCAAACACCATCGCTCTTAAAAAGAAGTATAATTCCGCCTCCAGGTTCTTCATAAGTGTCATTGCTAAGGCAAAGTCAGAGCACATCGGCAGAATTGGCGAGTAACTAGTTCGCCTTCCTTCGGGAACACTTGCATTCTGGTCTCTCGCTAAGGCTATCAAATCGCTCAAGGGAACTTCTGTCAGCCATCTCTGCCATCTCTGCACAGGGGACGACTCACTGGCCCATGCCGCAAAGCCGAGAAAGCCGATCTGCTAGGCTCTCTCTTTGCTTCCAACTCGGCTCTCGATGACGGGTGGTACACACCGCTGACCATCCCGCGATGTGAGTGCTTCATGCAGGATGTGCTGTTTACACAGCGGTCTCCCTGGACGTCAACAAGTCGAGTGGGCCTGATGGAGTCCCACCTATTGTGCTGAAGACGTGTGCTCCGGAGTTAGCACCGGTTTTAACGCGTCTTTTCCGGTACTTCTACTCCTTAGGCGTAGTCCCGAACTCATGGAAGACAGCTTTGGTGCACCCGATCCCTAAAAAGGCGACCGAACAGATCCGTCCAACTACAGGCCTATAGATATCACTTCCTTATCCCAAAAATCGAATCGTTGACGAGCGAGTTCTTTCCGATCGGCTTGACTCACTGGCACTACGTAGAGATGTTGCATCTCTTTGCGTATTTTATCGCATCTATCACGGGGAGTGTTCTGAGGAATTGTTCGGACTAATACCAGGCGCTCAATTTCACCATCGCGCATCACGACAAAACTCGCGATACCATCCATGCCATCTGGATGATTGGCGGTCCACCACTGTGCTGTTAAGAAGAAGTTTTCTTCCTCACACAACTTCCTTGTTGTTGATTTTTCCGGACCGATACGACCTTCAAGAAAAGAGCCTACTCCTTTTTAAAAGGCCGATAACGCATCTGCAATTCCCCTGATGTTGCGGTTGTTCATGGGCGGCGGTAGTCACTTACCATCAGTTGAACCGCATGCTCGTTTGCCCCCTCTCGTATAAAAAAGAAATCAATGTTTTAACGACTGCGACTTTTGCATATTTTTATCATGACAAAATATATAATTTTTAGATTTACACCGGATGACTACATAAAGTGCCTGGTGGAGTACAAGCCAACAACTCTCTTCGTAGTGCCTTCACTTCTCGCTTTTCTAGCGACACATCCTTTGGTTAAAAAGGAACATTTAGTGTCTGTAGAAACCATAATGGTAGGAGCAGCACCTACCACGGATAGTTTGCTGGAAAAGTTTCTACTTAAATGTGAAAAGACTAAGGACGAAATAAAACTGTTGCAAGGTATGCTTTTGTAATCTTTTTGCCGTTTATAGGAAAAGACAAGTGTCGTTTTGTGTAGGATATATTATTATACTGTGTTTAGTTTTCACCTAATACAGAAGCATCACCACGTGCTCTACAGCAAAGAAAAACATCGTGAGAAAACCTGCATGTCTTAGAAAAAATATATATATATTGAAGAGATGTGAAGTCCACCAACACGCATTGAGGCAGCGCGGCGGACCAGCCCTAAATATCTTCTGAGAGGAGGCCTCAAGGAGCTCCAGGAGTGGGACGTAGTAGGCTGTAACTTTGCTTTGCAGAAGCACTGACCTTTCTTTATATATAGGTACTTATGTTATTATGTATGTTAAATCTGTAATTTATTGTTAAATAATGTATCCGCAGTAGATTAAGAGAAACCGATACAGTTCACTGCACCAGTGAGTGGTCAGAAAATCGATACTAAGGAGGATAATTGGTTTCTTGATTACAACGCTTACGGTTTTCATGAAATTTTCTAAAAATCTTATCAATCAACTTTGTCGTTATCATTCAATAAAAATAATATCTGCCAGTAAATAGCTAGGATATATTTTCTGCCGACTTCCAAAAAGGAGACGGTACTCAATTCGACTGTATGTTTTTTTTTAATGTGTGTTACCTCATAACTTTTTACTGGGTGAACCGATTTCAATGATTCTTTTTTTGTTTGAAAGCGGGTACTTCTCGTGTAGTCCCATATAAATTTGATCAAGATCAGACCAATAGTTTTTGAGTTATTCTTAATAACTTATACTGAAGTCGGCTGTACAAAATTTTTAATTTTAAATTATTTAGTTTTCTGCCGACTTCCAAAAAGGAGACGGTATTTAATTCGACTTCAATTTGACGCCGATCTCCGTCAACGGTTTGTGTATTTTAAATCTGTCTTTTAGATCCCCTTGACCATGAGATTTACCTAGTCATTCCCATAGCTTATTCTTATGACAATCCCCGGTACGAGTTGGGGTGATGAAGTTTCTTATGTTGCCATAACATGGTAAAGTAAAACAGAGGTAACGTACCCAACCATATTTCAGGGGTATTTATAGACTATACTCCTGTTGCAGCGGTCCTAAACCACGTTGTAATTTTTATTCGAGTGGTGTCGGAGGCACCAAGTCTTCAAGAGGAACACTATATTTTTAGGGGGTGTTCAAGTAGTCTATGCACTCTGGAATTGCCTCATGTTTGCAGGCATTTTACATAAATAATTAAAGATGGATAAACATCCAGACCCATACGTTGTTGAGATCATACATTGATCTCTGCGGAATTCGAGCCTGCGTCCTAGTAGCACCGCAGCCAAACCTCATTATGCTACTGAGTCGTATATATTTAGGCTTAAGAAATATATTTAGGCTTAAGAAAGACTTTGACTGAACCATATGACTATTACTGAAGTTATTAACTTCAAATTTCAACTTTGATATTCTTAACTACTTTCAGTTTCTTGTTTCTTGTACTATTGTTTATTTTGTGATTCAGTTAAAATAGCTTAATATACAGGTTATGGAATGACAGAAAGCTCTCCTGTGACGTTGATGACGCCTTACATATATCCGTTTAACAAAATAGGCTCAGTGGGTCAGCTGGTGCCCAGCACTCAAGCACGGGTTATTTCTCTCACTACAGGTGTTTCTCTGGGTTCGCACAAGTCTGGCGAATTGTGTCTGCGTGGACCACAGGTAACCACTTAAATACTTTTACGTATTTCTAAACGACTTTCTTTATACATCGCTAAAATAATACATATCAAGTCTTCATGGTAGCAGTTTTTCTCTGTTACATTTTGTAGACATAATTTAGGTTTGGCAAAAAAAAAATATTTTTTAAACATAAATCAGTTCAGGTAATACATTCACTCAACTTGGGTAAAAGGCTTATGGACAGTAATTACAAATGACGCATCTAGACCCTAAAACAGAATTATCTGTAAAGGCTTTGGTATGGATTCAGTTTCAGTGATGATTCCATAAGCCAATCTTTCGTTGTTATAATAGGTATATATTTTAAAAAAATCATATTATAAATCCCGCAAAAACTTACAATAAAAATGTCGATTGTATTTTGGTGAATAAAAAAATCACTTACCTACTATAATATTAATTTTTTTTTACTTACATTTTAAAATGTATTCTCTTCTGTTTGTAAGTGCTACATTATGAAAATAATTAAATATTTCTCTTCAGCATTTTTTAAATCCTCCGTAGGTCATGAAAGGTTATTTGAACAACGAAAAAGCTACATTGGAAACGATGGATAGCGACGGCTGGCTGCATACAGGCGACGTGACGTACTACGATGACGACCACTATTTTTACATTGTAGATCGTACTAAAGAACTTATTAAAGTTAAAGGCAACCAGGTAGGTTTATATAATTTTACATATTTTCTTTTGTTTTAATATATAGATAATTAATCCTCTTTACTCTCTTTTCATTTTTTAGGTCGGTTATTTGTTTAACCAAAATAACAAACCCAAAAATTTAATTCATATAATAAAGTACGCAATAAGTGCCTATATTCGCAATTGAAACTATTTAATTTCATCGCACAGACATCATGATGTGTTTTTCACAGCGAACAATTACTGCAATACCTATAAATTATTTATCAATTGTGTATAAAAACAAATATTTTAATCATATTTTTCAATGAATTATTTCATTTTTAAGCAACCTCAACAAAAGTAATAAGGAAAATAGTATAAAAGTAATAATTAGGCCGGCCACATACATACGGAATTCCGTTTCGAGATTCCGTTTCGATATTCCGATTCGGAATCCCGAACGCAGCTAGTCCATATAAAATCTATGACCCGCCACACACGTACGGTAGTTTTCCGTTCGATATTTTGCGGTCAAAACGGGATTCCGTTTGTGTGTGGCCGACCGTTCGAAATTCCGAAACGGAATCTTGAAACGGAATTCCGTATGTATGTGGCGGGCCTTACAGTCGATTATTGACAACATCACAAAACGGAATTCCGTTTCGATATTCCGATTCGGGATCCCGAACGCAGCAAGTCCATATAAAATCTATGACTCGTCACACACGTACGTTATTTTTCCGTACGGAATTTCTCCGATTCGAGATTGCGTATGGCCGGCCATATACATACGGAATTCCGTTTCGTGATTCCGTTTCGGAATCCCGAATCGGGATTCCGTGAATACATCACACACACACGTTTTTTTTCCGTTCGGAATAACAAGGGTCAGTTGAGAGACGTTAGCCATTGAGTCTAGACATTCTGCCAGCGAATAATGACGACGATTTTCTAATTGCAAATTCCATTGTTGCTGTATCATTCTTACTAGGTGCATCCCCTTATCACCCTAAGCTTGCAATATAGTCAATACTATTTAAAAAGATCTATCTATCCAGAGATATTTTTTAAATTTTTATGTATGTAAATTCTATCGAGGAATTATTAAATAAAATAAGATGAAAGGTTACGAAAAGCTATACACCTACAAGATTAAATTTAAAAACATACATAAATACACCTACTCGCTTCGGTCGTGCGACGAACACTGAGCGCATTCCGTACGGAATTTACGTATGTGTGTTGCGACTCGTACAAAATCTATGGAAGACGTGCGTTCGGAGCGGCTTTTTGCCATTCGGGATCCCGAACGCACAGACGATCATACGGAATCTCGAATCGGAGAAATTCCGTACGGAAAAATAACGTACGTTTGTGGCGGGTCATAGATTTTATATGGACTTGCTGCGTTCGGAATCCCGAATCGGAATATCGAAACGGAATCTCGAAACGGAATTCCGTATGTATGTGGCCGGCCTATGACCGCCTGTGCGTTCGGGATCCCGAACGGAAAAAAGCCGCTCCGAACGCACGTCTTCCATAGATTTTGTACGAGTCGCAACACACATACGTAAATTCCGTACGGAACGCGTTCAGTGTTCGTCGCACGACCGAAGCGAGTAGGTGTGTTTATGTATGTTTTTACATTTAATCTTGTAGGTGTATAGCTTTTCATAACCTTTCATCTTATTTTATTTAATAATTCGTCGAAAGAATTTACATACAAAAATATTTAAAAATATTTCTGGATAGATAGATCTTTTTACATAGTATTGACTATATTGCAAGCTTAGCGTGATAAGGGGATGCACCTAGTAAGAATGATACAGCAACAATGGAATCGCAATTAGATAAATCGTCGTCATTATTCGCTGGCAGAATGTCTAGACTCAATGGCTACCGTCGCTCAACTGACCCTTGTTATTCCGAACGAAAAAAAAAACGTGTGTGTGATGAATTCACGGAATCCCGATTCGGGATTCCGAAACGGAATTCCGTATGTATGCGGCCGGCCTTAGTGCAATTGCAATATCTCAGCCGCAGGTTTCGCAATTTGTGTGATAATCCAAACTCGAGATACTTTCGTTATTCATTTATACACAAAAATTTTTTATAGACATTTTTACCATATCTTATGAATTTTCGCAGGTGTCGCCCACTGAAATAGAAAACGTGATAACAGAGCTACCGGAAGTAGCAGACGTAGCCGTTGTCGGCGTGCCGGACGCCCTGGCCGGGGAACTCCCGAAAGCGTTTGTTGTTTTGAAACCAAACAACAAACTTACGGAGAAACAAATCTACGATTTCGTAGCTCAAAAGCTTACTAGATACAAACATCTTGAAGGAGGCGTCGCCTTCTTGCAAACAATTCCAAGAAACGCCGCGGGAAAAATCATGCGAAATGAACTAAAAGTTCTTGGTTCAAAAAATAATAAAATACAATTTTAAGTATGTACCTACTTATGACAGTTCTGTAAATAATAAAGTGTTGTAAAAATAGATATGTGTGTATGATATGTACATAGGTGATAGCTGTTTTCTTTTTTAATACGTCTTTGGGTGATAGGTGTAATATTTAGATCCAATTCGTGACTTTGACGATAAAAATATATTTAAGATAATTTAATTTTATAAATTTGCATCTAATTGATTGCGTAAATTGGTAAAACATATCTCTAAATTTATAACAGTTTTTTTTTTATTGAATCAAATTGTGACAGAACATGCACCTTACCAGCTCATTCAACTTGATGTCCATGTCCATGTATAGGCAAATAATCTTTTTGGCAATCTATTGACGCAATAGTTCTTACCAGGATGACACTATACATATAATATACTTATGTATTAAACTATATGTAGTCGACAAAAAAGCATGTCGTCAAGGACTTCTCGTTAGACCTAACTTCATTTTATGAAAAAAATCACATGATTTTGGTTTTCAGGTGTCTGTTCAAAACTTCTTCGAATAAAATTGTTTAAATGTCTGCTATAAAAACCGTATCTTGTACCTCAGGACTGTGCTTTATAGCATTCCTTGTTAGAGGCCTATGTTCAGTAGTGCACTTGTGAACGGCTGTAATGTTGTCTGTAGCTTAATATTTAATGATTATTTCCAATGAGATCATATTTACTTAAATGTATGAAATGTGATAATATTTTTAATAAATTATTAGCACAAACCTGTTGGGTTTTCTTTACAGCATAAATTCTAATAGCATGCACCCCTAACAAACATTTCAATTTATTTTAAGTTAACTTTAATACTGTAGCACCTAAATCGTTAAAATAATGTAAATGCTTCAAAGCTAAAAAATGTGGGGAAAAAGGATACCTACTTTTTTAATAGAATAGGGTGACAAACGAGCACGCAGTCCACCTGATGGTAAGTGGATGCTGTGGCCCATAGACACCTACATTTATCCTCAATTAAGAAATAAAATGCAGTTGCGTTGCCACTCTAGAGGACTAAGGACTAAAATGGAATGCCTCATTTCCAGTAAAAAGCGTCTCCGGTTCTTTACACTCACCATACGAAACATAGCAGCATTAAGCTGCTATTTTACGCTGGTATTCTGTGAGCGTGGCCCTAGCCCGCTCGAGCCGACCCATTCGTGCTTTCGTTTTATTTATTTGTTATAAGCCAGTGTTTGACTACAATCCCACCTGGTGGTAAGTGGTGATGCAGTCTTAGATAGTAAATCGCACTAACTTAGCGTAACAAAAGCCTATTCACTCTTGCCTTGAAGACGCCCAGATTGTATTCGGACGGAAAGATAGACGCCGCCAAATTATTCCACTCCTTTGCTGTACGCATTACAAAAGACGAAGCAAACCGTTTGGTTCTAATGCGTGGAATATCGACAACAAAGGAATGAATACCCGCCGATCGCCTGGTTGTCCGATGGTGGAAAAGAGCCCTCTCTTTAGTTTAATTAAAGCGTGTAATTCCTGCGCACACTCACCGAAATGCATCCTATAGAATTCCGAGAGACTGTCCACCTGTGTTTGAGGCTAACAAGATTGGTTTCAATCAAATCAAGGTCACCAATGAGCCTCTTAGCACGTCTCTCCGCTGAGTCCAACGCTGCCAGGTGGCATTTTGCAGCACCAGCCCATGTGACAGCTGTACTCCATGCACGACCGGATTTGCGCTTTATATAACGTAAGAAGCTGCCCCGGCGTGAAGTACCGCCGCACCCTTGCAAGGACACCAAGATTCCTTGCGGCTGCTTTGGCTCTGGACTCAATGAACCGCCCATAGTTGAGGTTCGGAGAAAATTCAATTCCTAACAACTGAAGGCGGTCAGTGTACTATAAGGATACATTCCGAAAGTAGGAGCCAAGGTGTGCGAGCTCCTTTTAGCGGTGTTAAATTTCACGAGATTGGCATCGCCCGATTCGGAGACTGCCTGTAGTGTGACTCACGCTCAACCATAGCCTCTCTTTCTGACTGGATTTGATCCCGACTGGCCCGGGAACTATAGCTGCAGCATGGCTCTACCACTTAAAAATAATTAATTAATTTAAAACTATGGAATAGCTGGCATATATACAATAATTACTTACTTTATAATTGTGAGCTTGTAAAAGATATACGTGGTAGAGCCATGTTACGGCTGTATTATGGTTGTGGCACAAATGGGCCAACTCGACCGGGGTAGGACCATGCTCTCACAAAGTATCAGCGTAAAGTAGCAGCTTAATGCCACTGTTTTGTACGGTAAGTGTAGAGAACCGGAGACTCACTGGAAACAGGGCCATCCATCTTAGTTTTCAGGGGTGTCTACGAATCTGCATTTTGATTCTTGATCAAGGATATATGTAGATGTCTATGGGCCACAGCAACCACTTACCATCAAGTGGACTGTGTGCTTGTTTCTCAAAAAAGTAATTTCGCATTTAATTGGTTAGTGTTATAACTTAGTACATTATTTATTCTGTGGTGTTATTGCATTATGTTACAAAAGAATACCACTGTTAGACACACGCCGCTCACATTTGTAAGCATTTGTCATAGATTTGCCGTAGTCGAAATTCGAAATGTTTTGCAGGCAGATTTATAAGCAGTAAGCAGTACCAGTTGTTTTGCATCTTTGACATTTTTGCAACTGTCTATGATTTGCCGTACAACAGTCTTTTAATTCTGCCATCCATTAGAAATCCAAGATCTTCACATGTTCTATTGTCATCGTTTGAGCCCTAGAACATCTATGAGCAGATATGAAGTGATAGATTTCCTAACGTCACCACATACCAAATTAGTATATATTTTATATTCATATTATTCTAGCAGACTAAATGGAAATACCCTAGTGGTTGCTTTGTAGTGGTGACTTAAGAGAATCCACTACTCCAAATCATCCCATGGGTGTCATAAGAGGCAACACAGTGAAATTAAACAGGAGTTAGGTAGCAGCATCTTCCTGATAATTACTCAGAACAATAAAGAACTGTGGTTGCCAATGTGACTGTTAAGTAATACAATATGGGGGTGGCAAATGTCTCCACTTAGAAGCAATTTATGGGGAAGGGAAGTTCAGCAGCTGACATTTAGTATACTGCTATGACTATGATGATGATTCTTGTAAACATCACAGGAATTGTTTGATTCTTACACACCAACCAGTGTTTGTACATTAATAAATAATTTATTAGAAATTTAATTGCTCATTATTGTTTTAATTTCTTACATTTACTTTTCATATATTTATTTCTAAATTTATCTTTAAATATAAAAATAAATGCTTCTATGTTTGTCCCATATGCATTCCTAAACCATTCATCCAATTACAAAGCTTTGGTAAGTTGTTGTGTTTGCAAGGTTATTGACAAAAAAAAAATTTACCACAATACATGCAAGGCTAAAATGGCTAATACTAAATGATTTTTAAAGATTCAGAATCTTCATAAAAAAAACTATGAAGAAGACAGAAAGAAAATGCTTTAGATGATAAGTTGATAAAAAAAATGACTTTTAACGCTTTATTTCATTAATTCATTGAACTTACTAAAATAAGTGAATGTTTTAGATAATAATATAAATAAAATCATCAGTCAGATATTAAATGAGCCCTATTGTTCTGGTGTTTCTTTAACAGTGCTTAGTGTTTCTACATCTTCAGCTGGTTTACTTTCAATTTTTTCATCTATAACTGTATTTTCTTTTGTGTCCCCACTCCCTCCTGACTGAGAGGATGTATCTGGTGGTATTTGTTGCAACTCTGAGTTGACATCGCTAATTGAGTAATTGTCTGATTGCATTGTAACTTGCAAGGCATTATCTACTGTTGGATTTGTTACAGTTGCTTCATTAATTGGCTCTTCCTCTTTTATGTCCTTTGCAGCTTCTTTATTATTGTCAGCTATAACTGACTCTACTTGGATGTCAGTTTGAGATTCAGGGTCTGTTTTTGGGGAATTACTGTTACCATCTGTGTTATCACTAGAGGAACTTTCTTCACTTGAAGTCGAAACTTCAGAAATTATTTTGGGCTCGGTAATATCTTCTTTACAAATAGAACTTGAACTACTATCTTCACTTATAGCTTGTGGAGGATCTTCCATAGTTTTACTTTCATCACACTCTTTATCACTTGCGCTGATATTTGAGTGTGAAACTCCTTCGTCAAGTTTGTTTTCTTTTTGTTCAGTTGTATTGACTTCATCTATTGTTACTTCTGGTATAATTAAAACATTAGGCACTACATCTGATTTCATTTCAACATCTTTGGCTTCTGATGACGATGAAGTTGTATTTTGTAATATATCACTAGTTTCATCAGTTACTGGCACTGAATCGGAGACTAATGTTTCACTAGTCTTATTTTCAATTATCTGTGTGCTTGTGCTTATTGGTGATGTGTTTTCTGGTGGAGCCGTAGTTTCACAGTGAGTGCTAGTTTTCTCCAGAGTATCCATTGGGGTTTCTTCCTTTGGTTGTAGTGGTTTTTCACTATTATCAATAGAAATTTGTGTATCTGAGGAACTTGGTTGAGGTTCTGTATTTTGCTGATGGTCTGAATTTTCCTTCCAAGACACATCTTCCATTTCAACATCTACATTATATTCAGAATTATTATCTGAGCCATTTACTACTGGTTCAACTGGCTCACCATTCTCAGGTTCTATGTGACGCTGAGTACCGGGTTCCCTAGTGCTTACAACTAAAATATTCTTCTCAATCGCTCTCATAAACTTATCCACACGGTTATATTGTTTACGAGGATATGTTAGAAGTTCACAAATTCTCTGCACAGTAAAAGGTGCTGATGTAAAGGAATCAAGTCTTTCCAATAAGCTATTTTTCATAATGTCGTAATTGAATGGATCTACATTTGGATATGGTGGAATATCAATACCTGGCATTGTCTCATAGAAATCAGTAATAACATTCAAGAGCTTTTCTTTAAATAAACTTTTTACAAGAGACCATTGATACACAGGAT